TGGTTGCAGAGGAAAGGCTGGAACATTTTGGAGTGGCCATCGCAGTCACCAGACTTAAATCCGATTGAGAACCTCTGGTGGGACTTAAAGAAAGCAGTTGCAGTGCGCAAGCCTAAGAATGTGACTGAACTGGAGGCCTTTGCCCATGAAGAATGGGCGAAGATACCCGTAGATCGCTGCAAGACACTTGTGTCAAGCTATGCTTTCACGTTTAAAAGCTGTTATAACTGTAAAAGGATGCTGTACTAAGTACTAAGATTGAATGTCACTTTGGGGGGTTTGAAATAAAACTGATAATGCTGTGAGCACAGAAAAGACATTTGTGGTTATTTCATTATAACTGTTATGTTATATTTGTCTGACCTACAAGTGCCTCTTTAATGTAAATGTAAGCAAGATGACTGAATTATCAAAAGCAATGTCAAACTGGCCAAAACACTCAATTTCAGTGGGGTTGAATAATTTTGGCCACAACTGTATAAATGAAAGGGCCACCACTGGTTTAAAAGGCTTTTAAATTAAAGGAGGGCCACTGTTTTAAAGGGTTAATAAATTAAAGGACCAATAAATGGAGAACAAAAGTGAAAGGGTTATGATCGTAATAAAATATGTATTTTAAAACACCAGGTCCTGTCCAGAAATAACTGACATTTATAAAACCTGGCCATGCGTTCTTTTGTTCTCATTTTATCCAAAAATGACAGTTGGTGGATTCTAGCAAATATGGTCGGTGGATAGGAGGTCAGATGTGTGTCGGAAAATCTCTCTTGCACTAAACTATCTTCATTTTCCATCTCTTCTGCTCTGATAATATACTGGAATTGACATATGCAATAAAATGTCTTTACAAAGCAGCTTATAAAACCTGTGATTAGCATAGGAAAAAGCCAAAGATGTGTATAACTCTAATCAACCAGATTTCTGGATTTACCACTGTAGAACTGTCAGAACAAATACATTGTCTGGCTGGCTGTTGAGGGTTAGTTCTCCCTTTCCTTGTCTGATGGGTGGGAATGCATTATGGTAAATAGGATTAAGGCAATGCAGTTATTACACTTGTCTGACCATGGAAATAACGAATAATAGTTTCTCTGGTAACCCAACATTGTTTCCACAACACATCCACATCGATTGCCCTGGATACAGCATACTGTGCTTTACACTTTGTGCACATGTATGATATATTGCAGCTTTTACAGCTCATTGCACTATACACAATATTATTGAACATGTATGTTAGTTGTCTGCAGCAGATCATTGATGCAATGCCAAAAATGCCTGGTTATACCTGACTGCTATGGGTTGGGGCAATATCCGGTTTTCGTTTTCTCGCATGCACTAGTATTATTAGGAAACGTAATGTGTATTAGAATGTTACAGTTTTTGGGGTAAGCGGCGTTATGCATGACGTGGCGGTCAGGGGATTCATCCTCTGCACATCACGTCAGGCATCATACCGCTGAGCGAATGTATTTATTTCTGAATGTATTTATTGTATGCTTGGAACTATATTGCCATGTGGTGCGCTGCGTCGCAGTATAGGGTGAGATGTACCCCGATTACACGTATCATGTTGTTTTTGATGCTTCTGTAATAAAAGTATCTTTTCAATCAAAAAACAGTTCTTATTTTGTTGTAATATTCTCTCCCTGACAACATAAAGATTTTGCCCATAGCAATCAATCTAGTTGTATATTTTATTCTCTTGGAAAAGGAAACATAGGATTTGAATGGTTGCTGTGGGCATCAGCCCTTAGCATTCTCTCCCTGGCTATAAGGAGATGTTGCCCATAGCAATCAATACAGTTGTATCTTTTAATCTCTGGAGATAGGAAACAAGGGATCTGAATGATTGCTGTAAGCACCAGCTTTTATTTTGCTGTAGTATTATCTCCATGACAACATAAAGATTTTGCCTACAGCAATCAATCCAGTTGTATATTTTATTCTCTGGGATAAGGAAACCTAGGATTTGAATTGTTGCTGTGGGCATCAGCCCTTAGCATTCTCTCCCTGGCTATATCTTTTAATCTCTGGAGATAGGAAACAAGGGATCTGAATGATTGCTGTAGGCAACAACTGCTGTGTTGCTGTAAAAATTCTCTTCCTGGCTATATGGAGATTTTGCCTATAGCTGTCAATACAGTTGTATCTCTGCAGATAGGAAACAAGGGATCTGAATGATTGTTGTTAGCATCAGCCTTTAGCATTCTTCCCCTGACTACATGAAGATGTTGTCTGTAGCAATCAATCAAGTTTTATCTTTTAGTCTCTTGGAAAAGGAAACAAGAGCTCTAAATCATTGCTGTAAATAACAGCCATTGCTTTGCTGTAGTATTCTCTCCCTTTGTTTCTATATATTAGATATGAATTATTGGTTTTCATATCCATTTTTTCATATTTTCTAGTGCATTTATAAAGCAGTGAATGTGATTTGCATCAAATATACACTTGTGGTGAATCAATCACTATGGTTTAAAACATATGCACCAGGAAGATTCACATACAAGATTCACATACATGAATGTCAGATTCTCTGCTTCATAAAGCACAGCAAACCTTAATGTCCATCAGTTGTCAATAACATGTAGACAGCAGTTCTGTGGACAGTTGACAAAAATGACATTACCAATTGACTAGATACAGTGGATTCCAAGAGGAATATTATATGACAGGTAAGTAAATCTGCACTGCTTGCTATGGGTCACTTTGCATATTGCCTGATGAACATAATATTTACCACATTTACCTGTCACCCATAAAATGTTGCCTGTCAATTCCCCATAGACCAATGACATAATTTACATTAGGAAGAATATTGTCTACCTGTATCCAAGTAAGGGAATCTGTGCTGCCTGCTATGGGTCACTGCATGTTGTACATTGCTTTATCAACAACATATAGTAAATGTAAAATATAAAAACAAACTCCTATAAGGCAATGCAACAAGTGAAAACATATTTGTATACATTTGCACATGGCTTTACTCTACCTCATTCGCTAGGTTGAGGGCACATAGGTGATTTTTGATTTTTTTTTTAAGTGTCTAACATAGCTAACATTGGAGTGTAAGAACAATTCGCTCACATATAAGCTGAAGGGGGAACGTGCGCAAAATTGCACAAAAATGCAACTCCTTCTTACAGATGTGCTGCTTTGACAATCATTCCTAATGGCATTCTCAATGCACCTTGCATTAGGTATGTCCAAGGCCGCATTTACACAGGCATAAAAACACTGGGGGTTATTTACTAAAACTGGAGAGTGCAAAATCTGGTGCAGCTCTGCATAGAAACCAATCAGATTCCAGGTTTTATTGCCAAAGCTTAATTTAACAAACTGAAGTTAGAATTTGATTGGCTACCATGCAAAGCTGCACCAGATTCTGAGTGCACCAGTTTTAGTAAATCTCCCCTGCAGTGTCTAGATATGCACAGCGTATATATATTTGTGCGCATCGAAACACAGCTCTATAGTGGTCAATGAGCCCAGAGACTCAGCTGTACCTAGCTGCAAAAATGAGCGCTGCGTTTAGCCGCACACAAAAAAAGTAGGACACAGCTATGTTCAGGGCAGCACAGATCTCCAGATTTTACATGCATAAAAGGCCAGTTCACACTACATTATTATTATACAGGATTTATATGGCCCCAACAGTTTGCTCAGCACTTTACAATATAACGGGAGACAATACAGCAACAATACAGTTCAATACAAGAGGGAAAGGAGGGCCCTGCTTCTTCATCTGTGTTTCAGTTGCTTTTTTTTCACATCCAAAACGCACAGAAAGTAGGTTATATGGTTCTCAATGTCAGAGAGTTCACATCAGTGCTTGCAGTTCCAGTGTGTTCTGGTTGCAGAAAAAAAAGTAGAACAGGCTGCATTTTTTTCTGCACAGAACTATACTGGAACGTGGTAACATGCATAAAAAATGCACCGGAATGCACAAGTTCCTATTTAAATTGAATAAAAAGAGAGGGGGGGAAAATGAACTGGAATGTATAAAAACGCACCGAAATGTGTCAAAAATGCGCAAGTGGTAATGCATCCAGAATGCATCTGGATTGCGTTTCTATAGCGTGAACCAGCCCTATATGTGTATGCACAAACATTTGTAGTTATCCATTGCAATGAAAGAAGAATTGTAGGCATCTAAATGCAACTAAGCTCATTTACTTTAAGGGTCAGTTCACACTACATGTATTTCAGTGCACTTTTTTCTGCATCCAAAATGAAGAGAAAGTAGGTGATATGGTTCTCAGTGTCATAGTTCACATCAGTGCTTGCAGTTCTAGTGCATTCTGGATGCAAAAAAAAAAGTAGAACAGGCTGCATTTTTCCTGCACAGAACTGTACTGGAATATGGTAAAACACATCAGAAACGCACCTGAACGCACCAAAAACGCACATGTCCCTATTTAAATTAAAGAAAAAGAGAGGAAACTGGAACACATCAAAAACGCACTGGAACGCATCAAAAACATACATTCAGAAATGCATCTGGAACACTATTTTACGCAGGATCGTCTGCTAGGTCAGCCAGCAAGAACTTTCTTTCTGTGCAGGAAATGTACATATGTCCATGTTAATGAGTGCTAAAATGCATGGTAATAAAGTACCATGTGGGGGGGGGGGGGGGTTATCAAAACTGTCGGAGACAAAGTCTGGAGCAGCTGTGCACAGCAACCAATTGTCTTCTTTCTTCAGCTTCATATGTGTGATATCAATCTATACTACATACACCTATAGTACAGCTGGCCTTATGACCAACAACATCACTTCTGTCCAATTCTGACAATTACTTGGCTCCTAGGACACAAATGGGACAAGCAATCAGAATGGTGTCAGGTCATTACTGTAAACACCTCTATTTACACAGTTTAGTCAACTTCAAAGGCTTATTTAAAGTTAATGAAGGGGTTAATTGTAGTGACATCTGGATGAACAAGGCTTGTGCCCAGCCATTGGACACATCAAAGTCAGGTTCTCTTTGAAGTACATTGTGTTACCTGCTGCTCGAGCGCGCCCCTAGTGGCGTCCTGTTGTATGACAGCGTTACAATCAGCCAGGTCCTGCCAGTCAATGGTGGAGAGAGCTGCAGGACAAGCAGAAAGTGGCAGTTACAGGGTGACCCTCCGGGTTCAGGACACTGCTGCAGCGATATCTATCAAATAACAAGCATTCACCTGCATCTACTGCGCTGGGAGACTGATCTACATAGATAGTCACAGGGCCAGGGTGCTCAGCGAAAATCCTCTTGGCCACCTGTGCACAAGTGACAGTTAGCGGTTAATGGATGTGAACTGGGCACCGGAGGGCTAATCATCATCATGAATACAGGAGATCGTCCTACCTTCCTCTCTGGCTTTTTATTCAGCCGGTTGGACAGATCCAGCGCCCGGTTGGGACACAGCCTGTCAAACGCCTTCCGTTTGCTGTGCATGATTGCAGGACTGGAGGAGGAGAGTGAGAGGAGTGGGAGCTGAGCCGGGACTGCGGGACAAACTGTACAACACGGTGCTGACTTCACCCCACCAACAAATAGGAGCCGGGCACCGACAGGCGGGCGGCCGGGCGGGCTCCAATCACAGGCGGCGCTTGGTGTCGGTCTCCAGGGGAAAGCGTCCCTAGCAGCGGCAGGCAGGACAGAGGAGACGGAGCCCGCCAGTGCCCGGGCTATGGAGCGCTCATGGGGGGCGAGCAGGGAGAACTGACGCTGCACACAATGGTCGGGGGACAATGGCACACCGCTAACGTCTAATTAGAGGTGTCAGGGATTACCAGTGACACCAGATGACACCCCCCGCAGAGGGGACACTTCACACCCCAGATAAACATCACTAACTGTACATTCACAAGTTGTTGCTGTCACCTTTGTCATTTGATGGCTGCTGATAACGAGGACATTGAGCGCCAAGGAGGGAGGGAGGGTGAAGCGATCATTGCAGCACCTACTGATCTACCTGGATGGGGTCAGGGGGTTCTAAAAGAGGGGGTGACATTGCTTCATCTAATCCACACCGATGTTCACCCAGACCCTTAGAATTAAATGTTTGTGGTATACCATGATGAAAGGTAGGTGACCCTGCTTCTCAAGATGCATTTAATTCACAATCAAGCACCCCAGCCTCATAGTAGGGTTTGTGGTATACCATGGTTAAAGGTAGGTGACCCTACTTCTCAATATACATTTAATTCACAATCAAGCGCCAAAGACCGTATAAAAATAAAATGTTGCAGGGTTTGCAGTATACCATGATGAAAGGTAGGTGACCCTACTTCTCAAGATGCATTGAATTCACAGTGGAGCACCCCAGACCCTAGAATAAAATGTTGCAGGGTTTGTAGTATACCATGATGAAAGGTAGGTGACCCTACTTCTCAAGATGCATTGAATTCACAATGGAGCACCCCAGACCCTAGAATAAAATGGTTCAGAGTTTGTAGTATACCATGATAACAGGTAGGTGACCCTGCTTCTCAATACACATTTAATTCACAATCAAGCACCACAGACCCTATTTAATAAAATGTTGCAAGGTTTGTAGTCAGGGGCAGACTGACCATTTAAAAACTCGGGCACTGCCCGAGGGCCCGGGGTCAGTAGGGGGCCCCATGAGATGCCTCTGGTACCTTTTTCATAGGCTTTTTTGAGTTTGGGCAAGGACACAGGGGCCCCATGATCCCCTATTGCCCGGGGGCCCCATGAGTTGTCAGTCCGCCCCTGTTTGTAGTATACCATGATAAAAGGTAGGTGACCCTGCTTCTCAAGACACATTTAATTCACAGTGGAGCACCCCAGACCCTATATAATTAAATGGTGCAGAGTTTGTATCATGGGTGTATGGGACTTTCCTAGCACCAAATATACTTCAAAAACAGAATATATACAGTATATAAAAACAGTTTATTACAAAACATAAAATCATATCTCAAAACATACACTGCAGGCTTAGACCATAGGGGAACAAAACCCCATATATAACTCTCATAGGCTGAGGTATAACAGGCTTGATATGGAAGCTGTGGAGCATGGAGAAGTGAAAAAGCAGCAAAGAATTGTCTGAGAATTTGAGAACAAAAAGTGTGGAAAAGCATGGACAGTCTCAAGGTTACAAGTCCATCTCCAGAGATCTTAATGTTCCTGTGTCCACTGTGCGCACATCATTGTCAAGAAGTTTAGAGCCCATGGCACTGTAGCTAATCTCCCTGGACATGGACGGAAGAGAAAAATTGGTCGAAGATTGCAACAAAGGATTGTTCAAATGGTGGATAAAGAACCTCAATCAACTTCCAGACAAATTCAAGCTAACCTTCAGGCACAGGCAGGGGCGGACTGACCATTTGGAAACTCGGGCACTGCCCGAGGGCCCGGGGTCAGTAGGGGGCCCCATGAGATGCCCCTGGTACCTTTTTCATAGGCTTTTTTGAGTTTGGGCAAGGACACACGGGCCCCATGATCCCCTATTGCCCGGGGACGCCATGAGTTGTCAGTCCGCTCCTGGGCCAGGGTACAAATGTGTCAGCTCTCACTATATGTCGTCATGTGAATGAAATGGGATGCCATGGTAGGAGACCCAGGAGCAGGGGCGGACAGACAACTCATGGGGCCCCCGGGCAATAGGGGATCATGGGGCCCCTGTGTCCTTGCCCAAACTCAAAAAAGCCTATGAAAAAGGTACCAGAGGCATCTCATGGGGCCCCCTACTGACCCCGAGCCCTCGGGCAGTGCCCCAGTTTCCAAATGGTCAGTCTGCCCCTGCCCAGGAGGACCCCACTGCTGACAGAAACATAAAAAAAACAAATAGAGTTTGCCAAAACTTACCTGAGGAAGCCAAAATTCTTTTGGGAGAATCTGCTGTGGACAGACTAAACAAAATTGTTTTCAAAAAAAGCAACAAGGCCTTTAAAAAAAAGAACACAGTCCCCACAGACAAACATTTTGGAGGTTTACTGATGTCTTGGGGTTACGTTGCTGCTTCAGGCACTGGATACCTTGACCATGTTTATGGCATTATGAAATCTGAAAACAACCAAAGAATTCTTGGGTGCAGGGTCCAGTGTCAGAAAAGTTAGGTCTTTATCAGAGGTCATGGGTCTTACAGCAGGACAATGACGCAAAGCACATGTCAAAATCCCAGAAATGGTTTCAAACAAAGCCCTGGAGAGTACTGAACTGAACAGCAGTGAGTCCAGATCTTAGTCCCATAGAGCACCTGTGGAGAGATTTAAGAACAGCAGTTGGGAAAAGGAACCCTTCCAATGTGAGAGACCTGCAGCAGTTGGTGAAAGAAGAGTGGTCCAAAATTTCAGAAGAGAGGTGTAGGAAACTCATTGATGGTTACAGGAAGCCATTGATTTCAGTTATTTTTTCCAAGGGGTATGCTAGTAAATATTAAATTGAGGGTGCCAATAATTTTGTCCAGTTTATTTTTGGAGTTTTGTGTGGAATGTGTCAGATTTGGCTTTTTTATTTCTCTGCTTTTTTGTGTCACACCAATACAAAGAAAATAAATAATCATGAGAACGCCAAAACATTTGTAATTGTAACAATTATCTGGGCGAAGTGATGCATTATCTGACAGAAATGCAGGGATGCCAATATTTTTGTACATGAATATATATATATATAATATTTATGTTATGTACACATTATGCACACAAATATGTTTTTAAAAGATAAGGGGTCACATATACTTTAAAGCCCCTTCCGGCAGCATAGAAAAATACCCTTGCAGTGGGCCCCCTCTGAACCGGAGTTCAGCTTCATTTTGGGGGGTTCTGAGGGGGCGGAGAGAAAATAAAAGCACAATTACACCAAACAGTTATCATTTAAGTGTATTTACCTGGACTTTGTAAAAATCCCCTTTTCAATTTCAATGCAGCAAATATTTAGATAAAAATCACAGAAAGTCCCCAAGAATACTTTGGAGTTCACTGCATTTATCTACGTTTTTTGTTTTGTGATAAAGCTTGTCTTATCCTTCACGGAGTTCCTGATTCTTTAGACAACATCAGTGTTTAAAGAGCATCTAAATCCGAGAATAAAAATGTAATATATTGCAGCTTACCAGTTCTAGATCTGATGGCTGCTTTACTGTCATTTTTATTTTTCAGGCTTTGTTCCTTTATTTTCACCTGGTAATCCTGCCAGGAACACACTTCCTGTCCTAGGGTGACAACACCCACCCACTATACTGTATCTATGGAGGAGCAGTGTTGTTGCCCTAGAACAGAAAGTGTTAGGACTACAAAAACCTCCCCCTGTCCTCATCTCCACATTATTTGGAAGATTCTACATTCCACAGATAATAAATATATGAACAATTTATTGGGCACAATATTTCTGGCAGAATCAAAATGTCTTTTTTTGCAAATATCAAACAGATATAAAATTTGGTTCTGCACCAATTTTAGGACAGGAACAGCTACAGAGACATTTCGCCTTTTATTGAATTTTTCTCTTCATTTCTTATAGTCTCTTTCATGTTCCATTGGTTGTGAACATGGCAATAAATGATCACATGTTGTTTGCACACAGTAAAGGATAAGTCCACTCCATGGGGACTCATAGATTTTTACTGATTTTGACAGTTTATTTTTGTCTCTGTATATTTCCCTTTATTTATTTTTTATTACAGGTACTTATGTAGCACTGTCAAATACACTTTACATATTTATTAGGCATTCACATCAGTCCCTGCCCACAAGAAGCTTACAATCTAAGGTCCCTAACTCAAATTCATACAAACACATACTAGAGCCAGTTTAGACAGGAGCCAATTAACCTACCAGCATGTCTATGGGAGTGTGGGAGGAAACAGGAGTACCCGGAGGAAACCCACGCAAGTACAGGGAGAACATACAAATTGCAGGTAGTGCTGTGGTTGGGATTTGAAATGACAACCCTAGTACTGCTACTGACTTTATATTATTATACAGGATTTATATAGCGCCAACAGTTTGCTCAGAGCTTTACAATATAACAGGAGACAATACAGTTCAATGCAAGAGGGATAGGAGGGCCCTGCTCCTTGGAGCTTACAGTCTAAGAGATGAACTCCAGTCCTGAATGACATATCCCCCAAAAACTCTCATTGCTTTACTCCCACTACTTGTAGTTCTCCATATAAATACTGTACATTGGTCCAGAAGACATACTACCTGTTGAAGATTATGAGCATACAAATATTGGTACTGTCATCAGAACTCATAAAACTCCAGGATGGAAGTTTTTGAGTTTTTCTGCTGACTCTGACTCCACTGGGGATATCTCCCATTATTTCCTATCCTGGTGACAACGTTGTTAATGGAACAGGAAATAAGAGGAAACCTCTCCTAGGCCTGCTACCAATATCAATAAAATCTCTGTACAGATTCGAATTTTCTTCCATTCTGCTATAAAGATTTTCTGTTTTTATTGTGGACTTGTCACTGTTAGAG